AAAAGTGTGGATTATTGTAACCTGGATTAAAAGTGTGGATTATTGTAGTGAAGCCTTCTTCTTCAACCATGGACAGAGGCCTCGTGTCAGTGACGAACATGTTCAGGATGTTTCAGTGAAGACAGCTGCTGCTGTGGTGTCCATGATGTCTGTCCATCATGAAGGATGTTGTTGTTTGTTGTTGTTTTCTGGAATGAGACAGTAAATATGTATTATATCATAATTTACAGCAACTCAAGAAATGCCTTGTTTCACTTACAGCGTTAGGTTCAGGCAAAAGTAGCTAAAAGAGCAATTACACACACACACACACACATATAAAATACTTAATTACACACATTTGAGTAGATGTAATAAATTACTTTAATTCCTGTTTAAATGCAATTCATCCTGCCATACCTGCAGTGTCTTCAGACTTTGCCAGCAAATTAAAAGTTGAAGCTTAATCATTAAATTATTATCTTTGTGTTAGATTTATTTATAAATCACATTTAAACACTGCTTGTTCCAATTAAATTAAATAAAAAGTCACACACACGTTCTCTATCACCGTTATTAATCAGATAAACAAACAAACAAACAGCAGCTTCATCTACCAGACAGACTGACGTTACGTTTTCTCTCTTGAAACAGAACAAAGTGTTAAATTGTAGAGACTCACCTGTAACACGAGTTGGGAGTGAAACATGTATCAGCTGCAGCTCCTTCCTCCTCCTCGTGACTCCGACATGTTTACGTTTATCTCCGTGGTTCTCCCGTGTCGTGTCGGTGATTTTCAAAGCGGCATTCTTCTCAGTTTTTATCTTTGTGAAGTTCTCCCACACTTTGGAGGACTTGGGTCAAACAGTTTTCGCTGCGTTGGTCATTTGTAAAATTTACTTAATTTCCTTTGAAAACACTCTGCTCTGTTTCCTCCTCGCTATGTTCAACTCGCGCTGCAGTTTTTTTTTTTTTTTCAAACTTTATTCAGTCAGTCAGCATTGACCATGAACTGCAGGTGAACAAAACGAAACGGCTCCGCAGCGCCGTGAAAGACGTGAAAGACACATAATCGCGCGACACAACGAATCGATAACGAAATTCGTTGCCAGCGCTTTTAATCATCGATTTTTATCGATTTTTATCGATTTTATCGATTCGTTGTTGCAGCCCTAATGAAAATTACCACATTTCCCATTTTCCTGGACAGTGGACCCCAAGTCCTTGAAGTCCTGCACCTTTGTGACTTCTCCTTGTAGCCTCACTGTTCCATCTGCTTCCCTCTCATTCACACACATGTACTCTGTCTTACGGCTGACTTTCATTCCTCTTCTTTCATATCTCCACATCTCCAAGTTCTCTTCCACCTGTTCCCTGTTCTCACCACAGATCACAATGTCATCTACAAACTTCATATTCCAAAGGGATTCCTGCTGACCTCATCCGTTAGTCGGTCCATCACCAGAGCAAACAAAAAGGGGCTCAGAGCCGATCCTTGATGCACTCCCACCTCCACCTTGAAGCTGTCTGTCACTCCTACAGAGCATCTCACCACTGTCTTGCTCTCCTCATACATGTCCTGCTGTCCTCATACATGTCATGTACCAGTCTAACATACTTTTCTGCTACTCCAGATTTCCTCATGTAATGGATTTGGATCAAGCTGATGGCCTATAGGTTTTTCTTTTTAGCTTTAGGCGTGAGCCCCATTTTAATAGTATTCTTGTAATCAGAGCTTATCATCGTGTGTGTGTGTGTGTGTGTGTGTGGGGGGGGGCTGTGTGTATGTGTGTGTGCATGTGCCAGCCGTACCTCCTCTCTGGTGGCCACCACACGCAGTTTAACCACTCCGTCCTTCAACTCCTGTTCTCCCAGTATCGCCACGAGTGGGATACCCGCCTCCTCACAGTGCTGCAGCTGGTTGAGCAGTTTGGGGTTCTTCTTGTACATCATCTCAGCCTGAACACACCAACACAACGTCACATATCGTCTGCCCCCACAGAGCAGAGACACAGATTACTGTGATCCTGTGATTTAATCTCATCTGAGGAGTTCATTGAAAAACACAGGGTGGTTGAAAATCAGTGTCAAGTTAAAAACACTAGAATGGCCACTGATGGCGCTAGAAGAGATTTTTGACCGTCATCTTGTAAAGAGCTACCTGCAGCACTTTGTACTAACAAAGTTAAGTCGGGCCCTCTGGACAGATTCTTATTGAAATGTTTGTCTTTTTCCCAAAAGACTGTCAGTCTGAGGAGCTGCAACAAACTCAGTCTTATAAATAACACCTTCACATTATGGATTAACCAGATTAACCAGTTTGCTGATGATAGCCAAAACTAGCTGTTCACGTGATAAAGGAGGACCATCAGCCTAACAATTGGTCATTAGTGCCCTGATGGCTGCTTGCTATTCACAGGGGGCTGAGTGATAAAAATAACAGCATTGTAAGAAGGTGACCGTATAACACAGAGACCTCCACCCCTGTTTAATGATAGATGGGTTCTCTTCACAAAGATGCCCTCCTTCACTCCTCTCTCAAACCTTCGTACTTCTCTGAAAGAGTGACTGCTGGCCTGGAGATGAGTGTAGACCACAGAGTCCTGGCCTGATGATGTTGCTCTTCTGTGCTGGTCCATCCTTTTGGCCAGTGGCTGTTTAGTTTACCCAATGTAAGACTGATCACCCTCCTGACACTGAACAGCATACACAGTATTACTCTGGTTGTACCGGGGGACTGGATCTTTGGGATGAACCAGTCTTTGCTGTAATGTATTTTGCAGTTTGAGAGCCATTTGGATGTTATGTTTAGAAAATAAACGTCTCAGTTTCTCTGAAACTCCTGTAACATACAGAATGACCACTGGTCTGGGTTCCTCCTTTTCACCTGATGGCTGGCTGGAGTCCTGTTTGGGTTTCTTCTCTGCTTTCAGGCTGTTAGGCTGATGGCCCTCCTTGATCATGTGAACAGCTAGTTCTGGATGTCACCAGCAAACTGGTTGATCCACTATGAGAAGGTGCTATTTATAAGACTGCGTTTATTGCAGCTCCACAGACTGAAGAAGTCTTTTGGATACAAGACAAAATGTTTCAACAGGAAGAATCTGTCCAGAGGACCGGACTTTACTTTTTATTATTTTTTCTACCTGGATTATTGAGCATGCATCAGGAGAGCACTCTGTAATGTTGACATGTAAAAGACACATTGTTAACCTCGAGTGCCAGCGCTGTAGTCTACGTGATACACAAATATACGGCATATAACCAAAAAAATGCTTGGGAATTTCTGTATTGTTAGAGTTATCCTACTTTATCATGCTGAGACCCCCGGTCTTGACTGTACAAATTCAGACTAGTCTCTGGCCCGGTTCTGTACAGAAGAGACAGGCCCAGCTGCTCTGAGCGAGCTTCCCAGGGTCAACATCTAATATGGAGTAATTTTTTATTTTGCAGGCTTCCATCACGTAGATAGATTTGCACTTTCACCCATTTTTTACCATCAGAAACAAATAAGACCATTGAGGTCACACAGTCACCCCACTGATAGGTTGTGCTCCCGGAAAAAGGCGGAGCCTAGGGCCAAGAAAAAAGACAGAGGGGTGAACCACACCAGCTCTTCCGGTTCATGAGCTCCTTGCATGTCGAGTCGGAGACATTCAGTGATGAACCTGTAACTTTTTCCTGCCTGACGAACTTTAAACTGGTAAAAGGAAATTGTATCTCTTGATTTATTTGAGTTAGAGCGAGTTTCCTCTCCATCTGGGAATAAAAGAACCAGACACCGGAGGTAGAGAGTCGGACCAGTTTCATGGATGGACCCAGTCCATTTTCTCAGTATAATCAATTAAAAGTGCCCAATGATACGTCACATATTAAACAGCAGTTAAACTCTTCAGTAATAATCAGTCTTGTCTGAATGAAGCACTTCTCTGCTGCTCCGAGCAGCGCCAGTTGCCAAACACTCCCCCTTTCCTTCTCTTTTGCTCCTCACTGTTCCATCTGGCCTCTCTCTCATTCACACATGTACTCTGTCTTACTACCACTGATTTTCATTCCTCTTCTTTCAAGTGCATTCCTCCACCTCTCCAAGGTGCATCACCAGAGCAAACAAGGGGCTCAGAGCCGATCCTTGACGCAATCCCACCTCCACCTTGAAGCTATATGTCACTCCTACATTACATCTCACCACTGTCCTGCTGTCCTCATCTATGTCCTGTTGTCCTCATACATGTCCTGTTGTCCTCATACATGTTCTGTTGTCCTCATACATGTCCTGTACCAGTCTCACACACTTTCCTGCCACTCCAGATTTCCTCATGCAATATCACACCTCCTCCCTCAGCACTCTATCATATGCTTTTTATAAATCCACAAAGACACAATGCAGTTCCTTCTGACACTCTCTGTACTTCTCCATCAGCATCCTCAAAGCAAAGAGGCATCTGTGGTGCTCTTTCTTAGCATGAAACCATACTGCTGCTCACAAATTGTCACCTCTCATCCAAGTCTTACTTCCACAACTCTCTCCCAGATCTTAATTGTGTTGCTCATCCACTTAATTCCCCTGTAGTTGCTACAACTCTGTACATCACCTTTGTTCTTAAAAATGGGCACCAGCACACTTCTCCATTCCTCAGGCCTTTTCTCACCCTCAAATTTGCCATTGAATATTTGAGGCAAAAACCTCACTGCCATCTCTCCTAGACATTTTCAAACCTCCACTGGTACAGTATGTCATCAGGTCCTACTGCCTTCCACTTCTTTATTCTTTTGTGAGTTTTCTGGACTTCACCCTCATTAATCTTTCCCACTTCCTGGTCCACAGTTTCTATGACCTCTACTCTTCTTTCTCTTCATTCAAAGTACTCCTTCCATCTTCCAGTCACACTCTCCTCACTTGTTAGAACATTACCATTCCCATCTTTAACAAGCCTAACCTGCTGCACATCCTTTCCAGCCTGATCCCTCTGTCTCGCCAATCGGTACAAGTCTTTCTCGCCCTCTGTAGTGTTCAGTCTCCCATACAACTCATAATACGTCTTCTTCTTTGTCACCTCCCTCTTTGCTCTTCGTCCCATCTCCTTATATTTTTGTCTCTTCTATGTCATATTTCTTCTTGGCAAACCTCTTTCTTTGACTAGTGTCCTGAACTATATTATTCCACCACCAGGTTTCCTCATCATCCATTCTCTGTCCAGATGACACACCAAGTACCTTCCTACGAGTCTCACTAATTACTGGTACTGTTGCTGTAGTAGTCCAGTCATCTGGAAGCTCTTTCTTACCACCCAGAGCCTTTAACAGCTCCTCTCTGAACTCCTCACAACATTCTTCCTTCTCCAGCTTCTACCATTTGGTCTTCTTTTCATATTTTACAAATTTTCTCTTCTGCACAACAACAGTCATTCTACATTCAACCCTTCAATGCTGTCTGGCCATGCCCTCCCCTGTAAGGGGCCCTAAAGGCAGCCCAACATGCATGTTTTTAGAGTACCTGGAAAAAGCGCACAAACATGAGGAGAACATACAAACTCCACACAGAAAGGCCCCAGGTCCAAACAGAGGCTTTAACTCATGACCTTCTTGCTGCAAAATAACAGCGCTAACCTCCAGGGGTGGAAGTAACAAATTACAAATATTCACATTACAGAGGACAACACTGTCCACAGAGAAAATGACGAGGTAAAGGATGAGGACGAGTGCCCGTGGCTGTAACTGGAGGAATGTTTCATGTACAGAGGGTGAAAAGGAGACAACGTCCAGATGCAAACTGTGTTTGATCTCTACAGTGATAGCAGCTTCAAGACTTCAGCATCTAATCTCAAAAAACATATTGCAGTATATGAGGTTTTACAACTACCTGTATGATAATGCTGTTTTATTGTTTGTATGTGTGGGTTATTAGTTTGACTAAGCACGCAAAGATCTTAGATACTGTCACTGCCATCGGTTTGCCTGGTACAAAAATAAGACGGAGCTTCTGAGAAATGTGCTTTGAATGTAGATATTGTGGTATGACATATCCTGAGATATATTCATACTGTTAAAACGGGTTCTTTCATTTTTCTGGACTGTACATCAACGTGCGTTGAATGTAATAAAATGTGGACGTGAGACGTTAATTATCTTTGACTCACCAAGCGAGTGGGTCATTTATTAACAGAATCAAGTTTAACACATCACACATTTACATTAATTGGCAAGAATTGAAAAATAACGACATAATTAATCAGCTTTACAACCAGGAAAACCATACGGCCATGATTTTCCGTTGCTTCACCACAGACATTTCTGAAAACATCTGGATTAATTTGCTAGAAGATAGGAGAGTTTAAAGATGGAAAGATGAGGTTTATCTAAGAGAGATGTGTGAGGGAATTTGTCTGTTTTAACCAGAACGTGCACGCTCCTTTGGAAATCAGCTTGGGCCAACGGTACGCTTGGTCGAGATAGAACTTTTACCTTGCAGACGATAGCTTCAGCGTCGGTGTAGAGCTCTTCTTTCAACTCTTTCAGCGTCTCCGTGAGAACAGCTAAAAACCTTGGGAGTCGTGGTGTTAGTCATCCAAAACAGACTTTCATAATCCCCAGAATCTCCTCTCGTGGTTTAGTGGCAGCTTACTGAGCAGCTGCATTCCAGCATTCTGCATTCTGGAACTCCAAAACTCTCTGGACTGCTACTCCATCTTCAAGACTGAGCTTACAGCAGCTTCAAGACTGAGCTGAACTCTCTGGAACTGTTCTCTTTGAACTAGGAAGTGCCAACATTTAAATGGGCTCTACTTCCGGTTCATTTGAGAGCTTTTTGATTGGTCGATGGACCAAAGCAGAGGTGTGGTTTGTGATGTAAGGTGTTATGAAGAGTCAAGGGAAAAGATTAAGATTGTTTAAGAACAGACAGAAAGATTGTTATGGAGAATTCAGACTTCGAGGAGCCACCTCTCCTAGTATCTTGCTGTAAAAGTTAAACATGACATTTCTTTTCAGTAAACTTTCAGTTGACCGAAACTTGAACTTCGACACACTTACAACTTCGCTCATTGAAGACAGAAAATCAAGAAATGCATATTAACCTGATTTCTTCTTTGAATGAGGATTAAAAATCATTATTACTGTTTTAAGTAAATAAAAATGAGTAGTTCACTTCAACATGTAAACATTGTTTGAACTAACACAATTTGATTATCAAAACATTTGTAAAATAGTAATGATCATAGAGAATTGTCTTTTTCCACTTGATTAATTCAAGAAAGAAAGTCTCAGGATGGGTCAACCTGTATTTCGGGATGCAAATCAATGAAATGACAGTTTCTGACCATATGATCCTAAGGTCAAGTTTTGACATCAGGTCAAGTTCACTACAATATATTTATTATATACAGTAAATCAAACTGAATGGCTTCTATATGGGGCGGCTGTGGCTGAGTGGTTAGGGCTGGAAATTCTGAAAATGTTCAAAGCTGGAAAGTTTCTATAAGAAAATCATGGAATTTAAAATATTAACGGTTGAGTATCAAATATAGCTGGGCAAAATAAATCTGATCAGAATCTAGATTAAAACAAGTCCACAGGAGTGTATCTCTGCTATTCTTCTGATACATGCAGATGATTTCATTCATTCTGAGCTCAGAACACAAGGCTGATAAACACCAACTCAAAAACTTAAAACCTGTCACTGTTTGAAAGTCCTAAAGTCCAAAACCTTCAGTATCCATCTCTCTACCCAACACTAAACCATGCTGAGAAACCCTGGAGGAAGTCAGAACTCTGCAGGTGGTCCAAACTAATGCACATTACCAGATTAATTTTGTCCTTAAACTTTGTGGAGTAACGCACCTTTATTCCAGCGTTCCAGAGCTCAGTGACGAGTCTGAGTCTTTCCTCCAGCAGGTTCTTCTGAGCGGACACCACCATGACCTGGACCTCAGTGGTCCGGATCTTCTCTGCTGAGGCCTGAACAATGAAACACCATTAGAGTCTGAACACTTGGACCCAGCGTCAACACTAGAACTCTAAAGTGTCACTTAGAGCTGCTCGACTGCAGCTCAGTTCCTTCCTGGGTTGGACTGGTGTGCCAAACCTCTCACAGCTTTCTCCTGAAAATCCACGTTTTGATTTTTTTGTTTGCAGCGATGAAGGAGACAATCTGGAGTTTTAAATCTCTAACTGTATAAAGAGCAGAGCAATGCTCCTCCTCCCCTACAGTTACAAAATGCATAGGTGAAAAACAAGACTACCAAAGCCACACTAACCAGCAAACTGACTAGTTAAGTTAGTAAAATACCCCATTTTAATTCAAATCACTTGTGTTCTCTCTATGTGTATCTAAGCAACAAAAGAAAACTATATTATATTTAAAGTAACTATAGGAATGCATATTTTTTAGGAAGTGGTAGTAATAATAGTTGCATTTATGTTGTTAAAGCTTGGTCTAAGAGTATAATTCTTGTTTGGGGGTGCGAGAGATTCCGAGTTCAAATCCCGGATGAGCCCCCACTTTGTTGTAGCCAGGCTCAAAGACCACAACAAAAACGGGGGAAGCGCGCAGGAACAACTTACAATGTTTTATTCTCAACTAAACAAATAAATAAATCTAAGGAAAGAAAAATGGGGGAGCTTATCAATAGACAATATTTTGCTCGAAGTTATCAAACAGAATCTCAAATCAACCCGCTCCGATCTTCAACTCGGCAAATTAAAGAACACTCATGCTAGGATGGTCCTGATGGCAACTGATGATTGTGTCAATCTGAGCCTGAGATCACTGGAGATAACTTCACCCATCTGCTCCCCCCAGCCCCAGGAAAAAGATACCAGTGAAATCCGGTGTTATTCTGGAGCCCTGCAGCCCAAGAACCAGTGACAGATCTAGAGATGGTCACCTCAGCTTTCTGCTCCATGATGGAGAAAATCCTCTCGATCCCGATGCTGACGCCGACACATGGAACCTTCCGGCCCTTTGGGTCAAACATGCCCACCAGCCCGTCGTACCGGCCCCCTCCAGCCACGCTGCCCACACTGACATTCTCTTCTGACCCGTTCTGGGTGTCAGTAGAGACCGGGGTCATGCAAGCTTGTGTCAGCACCGCCTCAAAGATCACTCCGGTGTAATAATCCAGACCACGGGCCAGACTCAGGTCAAACACCACCTGAGGAGAGCAGTCAGAATAGTCAGGCACTGACCAGGATCTGGACCTGATACTGGCTCCAGAATGTCTCACCTTGTCCGTGACCTGAAGGAGCTGCAGGTAGCTGAACAGGAGCTTGATGTCGGACAGACCGGCGCAGGCCTGCTTACTCTGAGACATTTTTGGGTCCTGAAGGAGGCGCTCTGCCAGGTCCATTCCACCTGAAACACAAAGCGTTCGGTCAGAAATGGACTTTACTGCCAACATTCAGCTGTACAACTGTTTGGGATCTGAGCACAACTGGACTTTCAGTGATATTTTGACCAAATCATCCTTTCCTGAAAAAATAAAGCCATGTTTTCATAAAATGTGTAGTCAGCACTCTTTGTGCTGTGCTTCTCTTTATCTCCGGGCTAAACTTGTTGCAGTTCAGCACACGCGAACAGGAAGGCCCTACCCTGCATGCTGACGTACACCCCAATCTGGTCTGCAGCCTCCTCGGACAAGCCCTTCTCATCCACCATCTCCTTCCTCACGTTCTCCCACGACATCTGGAGGAGAAACGATGCAACAGGAGTGTTCAGTACAGCGGTGTCCAAACCTTTTCACACGTGGGCCAAAACTGCTGAGATGAAAAGACTTACGGGTCACAAAAGTTGAATTTAAAATAATTTTTAAAAATACACATTGCGTTTGTTTAGAAAAATAAATAAATCAAAGTCTCAACAACAACATATTTTGGAGAAAGGACAAAAGTTTACTAATTGTAGTGGAGAAAAAGTTCTAAATTGATCATAAAAACTTCATAAACATTACCGGTAACCTTTTTATTTATTTTTTTGATTTGTTGGGTTGGTTTGTTGTTTTTCATGCTTGAAGTTTCTTTTGTCTGTTCTCAGAAATATCAGAACCGTATTTTCTGCCGTACTTGTCGCACCGTCGTATAAGTCACATCAGTCCAAATATGTCTAACAAAGTGAAAAAATCCTTAAATATGTCACTTCGCCGGGCAGCACGGTGGTGCAACTGGTAGAGCTGCTGCCTCTCAGCGAGAAGGTTGCCAGTTCAAATCCCGGTCCGGGGGCCTTCCTGGGTGGAGTTTGCATGTTCTCTCCGTGCATGCATGGGTTTTCTCCGGGTACTCCGGTTTCCTCCCACAGACCAAAAACATGCATGTTAGACTGATTGTCCCTAGGTGTGAGTGAGAGAGTGAATGGTTGTTTGTCTCGTTTGTCTCTATGTGTCCCTGTGATGGACTTGTGACCTGTCCAGGGTGTACTCCGCCCCTCGCACAGTGATTGCTGGACATGGGCAACAGCGACCCACGTGACCCAAGGTGGAGGAAGCGGGAAAAATATAATGGATGGATGGATGTCGCTTCGCTGTATATGTTGCATCTATTATGTGACACATCTGACTCGTCGCATTTGTTACGCGCCACCACTGACAACCCAGAAATGCGGGTCGGTGTTGTGCCAAAAATCGATTGGTTGCCAAACGGTGGCCGCGGATGCGTGCACGGGAGGACTTTAACAAGAATTTAACAAGATTAACACTTAAAAACAATTATTTGTTTGCTCGAAATCATAGTAAAGGTGTGTCTCAGTCTAACGTTAGCTTAATAAATGCACTGTGACGGTCAAATCAGCTGAATTTCAAAACCCGATATGCGGAAGTAACCGCGTGCACGCGATGAGTCGCTGTGCAAATTTAACAAGATAACCACCTAAAAACAATTGTTTGCTCAAAATTAGAGTAAAGGGGTGTCTCAGTTGAACATTTGCTTAATAAATGCACTTTGACGGTTAAATCAGCCGTATTTCAAAACACAATTCGCATAAGCGAGCACACGCAGAGGGATGAGCCGCTGTTCATTTCTTTGAAATTTAACAAGATAAACACCTAAAAACATCATTTGTTTGCTCGACTTTATAGTAAAAGTGTGTCTCAGTCTAATGTTTGCCATTATAAAAGGACTTTAACGGTCAAATCAGCTGAATTTCAAAAGTATTCTCTGCCTCGGTGCTCCCGGGAGCACGCAGAGGGAGGAAAGAAAGGAGGAACGCTGCTCGTTTCTTTAAAATTTCACAAGGAAAGCACCTAAATCAATTATTTGTTTACTCAAAATTATAGCAAAGGTGTGTCTCAATTGAACTTTTACTTAATAAATGCACTTTAATTGTCAAATTAGCTGCATTTCACCGGGGCGGTGCAGCTGGTTTGACAGTTGCACCAAGCAGTGAGCAGAACGAAGGTATGGCAAGCCGATTGTGTCATTAATAGCTGGTGATGATTCTCAGTCATCCAGTACATGGTAAATTCAAAAAAGTTTAAGACAAAAACAAAGTATAAAGTATAATAAAGTCCAGTTGTTTTTTGTCTTGAACTTTTTTGAATTTGTCATTATAGCCACGTTTACCTATTACATGATACAAAGACATGCCTTACTGCTACTACTACGCTGCTGTCATCTAGTGGCTGAAAGTGGTACTGTTCTTTTTTTCCCAGTCAGAATGAATGAAAACGGTCATATCTCAGCCAAAAATTGGTTTATAAATATGAAAAAAAATCCATAAACACGTTGCTTCGGCGTATAAGTTGCAGAGGATGCAAAATATGCAAAAATGTGACTTATAGGCCAAAAAATATGGTAAATGTTCTTAAAAACGGTCACTAAAAAGGGGGTCGACCACCCGTTTAGACCATGGATGTCCCAGAAGTTAGCAGAAAGCAGGAGAGGGTTTGAACCTTGTCCAGTTTGTCCACAGTTGAGCAGACAGTCCGGAACTTGTCATCTGGAACTCCACACACGGCGAACATCCCGTCAAGGATGCGTCTGTCGTTGACCTGCAGACACACGATGCGTTCAGAATGTGATGCCTAAATGATGACCCGATGACTCATCTGACCCGAGCCTCTGAACCTTAATGCGGAAGTCTCCCAGCTCCAGCGCACTGAGGATTTCATGGACGATTTTCAGGCACTCTGCGTCGGGGATCATGGCGTCGTACTGGCCCGCTATGTCAAAATCCTGAAACGCGTACATGTGTTAATGGATCGTGCTCCAAACACAGACAGGAATTAATGTTTGTTGTGTCAGAGCAGAACTTACGCACTGATAAAACTCCCGGTAGCGCCCACGGGTCATGGCTGGGTTGTCACGGCGATAGACCTTAGCAATATGGTAGCGCTTGATGTTGGTGATCTTGTTCATGGCCAGATAACGTGCAAAGGGCACCTGAGGAGGAGGGGGTGAAGGAAAACGAGGCTGCACAGAGGGAGGGGGATTATAAGGCATCATGGACTCTTCAGTAAGATTTATTAGAGAAACTTGTTGAGAAACTGAGCATACAACAACTGTTGCCCCGGTTCCTCACCAGTTGAAGCCTCAAGGTAGAGCGAAACAAAGAACCAGCTCATGACTAGTGTCTAAACCAGAGCTGTTCAACTCCAGTGCTCAGCGGCCACAGCTACTGAGAGCCAAAAGATCAGGGCTGGACATCCAACAGTTATCAAGACCACGTAAATTCACTTGTAATTTAAAATCTACTTTGATTTCAACAAACTCTTTTGGACTAACCCAGTCATTGATCATCTTTATAAAAGATCACCCAGCCGATGGAAACATTTGTCATTTCAGATTTTTAAATGTTTTCTCTTATTGATTTATTTGAATGAATGATTTAAATTTTAGTCTTAATTTTAATGAACCCATCGGTGGGCTGAGTTCACCCGCGGGCCGGATGTGACCCCGGGCCACCGATGGAATAACACTGATCTAAACTATTTATATTTACATGGCATGTGCAGTCACTTACTGTATTTACATCAATAAAACACTTAAACATCCAAAAGGGATGAGCACCTTTTTACAGGTCTTTTAAAAACGGCACTAAAAGAAACGTTGGTTTTATCTAGCGTAGTTTAAATTCTATCTTTTATGTTTTAACATTTGCGTCATTTTATTCCTTTCATATTTGAATATAAATGTCTGATGACTCTTTGTATTGTGACTTTTAGAAGACATCTTGACAAGGACTCCCTGGAAGAAGAGATCATTTATCTCAAGTAAAATAGTCACATATTAAGCTAAAGTCTGGTGTGGTGGTAGCAGATAGTTATCCACAACATCTGAATGAAGCCGTTCAACTCATGACAGGATACAGTCAGGTCGTATCTGAGGGACAGCAGCTCTCCTCCCTGGTCTTTGAGGTCGTAGATGAGCTTTGAATCTTCTCCGTACTTCCCCGTCAGGGTTTCCTACATCAGCAAGGCGACAGATCACCTCCTTGTTTAAGAGCCAAACCACCTGAGATGCTGAGGCCAACTGAGATGTGACGAGGATCTACCTTTAGCTCAAACACTGGCGTGTCGATGGTCTCTGCTCCGTGGCATTTGAAGCAGCTGACGATGGTGCTGAAGACCTTCTCTCTGATGGCCATCTGTTTGGGGTTGTAGTCCCGTGTTCCCTGTCAAGCCAACGCATTTTCATGTAACTGATGAGTGTCATAGAAAAAAAAGAGATTCCCAAAACAACCAGGTGTAAGCTCCGTCAGGTTTATTACAAAGCTTTGGAGAACAGCCAGCAATCACAGAAGATCAATACATTTACAAGTTTACACTTATCAGTGCTTTCACCTGTCTGAGGTTCTGACCCATTCTGACTTCCTGAACAGAGAAAAATCTGCTTTGTAGAAACTTCCAGCCCCTCCCCGCTCTGTCCAGCTTTAACAGAACCCAGCTGCCCGTTTCCTGTTTGCCACTCCCTCCCAAGATGAAGAGGCGACAGGCGCACACCCAAACACTCACACTGTGGCCGACCACTAGGGGGCTCCACTCACACCCACATGTCAATGTTTTGTTTTTAACAATATGTAGAAAAATTATGATTTTTGGGATAAAAGTGTGTTATTCAAAGTGTTTAGCATAATTTTACTGTTTATGTGTAATGCCATAATCGGTGTACTGTATGTTTATACTGTTTAAAAACTGCCTCTGTTTTACACAATGTGGTGGGTTGCCAGCTGGACTTTTTTGGGCTTGTTTTCATAGAGCTGGTTGCTTGTTTCTATCGCAAGATCTGGCAACACTGCTCACATGCTCGCAGAGGAATTGTTGCTTGCAGAGCAGGAGGACAGCTTGAAGATTGTGATCAATGACTTCCTGTAAGCTACTGTATTTATTTGTTTTTAACCTGCCGTGCTACAGGCGTTGTTCAGAACGTTTACTGTAAGTATTTGTATACGTTACCGATACACATTTAATGTAAAGTTTTTTAAATATCTTTCTGTGTAAATATACCATGTTACAACATGGACACCTGTGGCGGCCTTTATACAGGTGCTGGTCATAAAATTAGAATATCATGAAAAAGTTGATTTATTTCAGTAATTCCATTCAAAAAGTGAAACTTGTATATTATATTCATTCATTACACACAGACTGATATACATATTTCAGATGTTTATTTCTTTTAAAGTTGATAACAGACAACTAATGAAAACCCCAAATTCAGTTTCTCAGAAAATTAGAATATTGTGAAAAGGTTCAATATTGAAGACACTCTAATCAGCTAATTAACTCCAAACACCTGCAAAGGTCTTTAAATAGTCTCAGTCTAGTTCTGTAGGCTACACAATCATGGGGGAGACTGCTGACTTGACAGTTGTCCAAAAGATGACCATGGACACATTGCACAAGGAGGGCAAGACACAAAACGTTATTGCTAAAGAGGCTGGCTGTTCACAGAGCTCTGTGTCCAAGCACATTAACAGAGCGGTGAAGGGAAGGAAATGATGTGGCAGAAAAAGTGTACAAGCAACAGGGATAACTGCACCCTGGAGAGGATTGTGAAACAAAACCTATTCCAAAATGTTGGGGAGATTCACAAGAGTGTGGACTGCAGCTGGAGTCAGAGCTTCAAGAACCACCACGCACAGACATATGCAAGACACAAGTTTCAGCTGTCGCATTCCTTGTGTCAAGCCAATCTTGAACAAGAGACAGCATCAGGAGCGTCTCACTTCAGGTAAAGACAAAAAGGACTGGACTGCTGCTGCGTGGTACAAAGTTATCTTTTCTGATGAAAGTAAATTTTGCATTTCCTTTGGAAATCAAGGTCCCAGAGTCTGGAGGAAGAGAGGAGAGACACAGAATCCATGTTGCTTGAGGTCCAGTGTTAAGATTCCACAGTCAGTGATGGTTTGGGGGTCCATATCATCTGCTGATATTGGTCCACTGTGTTTTCTGAGATCCAAGATCAACTCAGCCATCTGCCAGGAAGTTTTAGAGCACGTCATGCTTCCTGCTGCTGACCAACTTTATGGAGATGCAGATTTAATTTTCCAACAGGACTTGGCACCTGCACACAGTGCCAAAGCTACCAGTAACTGGTTTAAGGACCATGGTATCCCTTTTCTTAATTGGTCAGCAAACTCGCCTGACCTTAACTCCATAGAAAATTTACGGAGTATTGTGAAGAGGAAGATGTGATACACCAGACCAAACAACTCAGAAGAGATGAAGGCCACTATCAGAACAACATGGACTCTCATAACACCTGAGCAGTGACACAGACTGATCAACTCCAGACCACGATGCATTGCTGCAGTAATCCAGACAAAAGGAGCAACAACTAAGTACTGATGCTGTACATGCTCATACTTTTCATGCTCATATTTTAAAGTTGGCCAACATTTCTAAAAATCTTTTTTTTTTAAATTGGTCTTAAGAAATATTCTAATTTTCTGAGATACTGAATTTAGGGATTTCATTAGTTGTCAGTTAAATCATCAACATTAAAAGAAATAAACATTTGAAATATATCAGTCTGTGTGTAATGAATGAATATAATATACAAGTTTCACTTTTTGAATGGAATTACTGAAATAAATCAACTTTTTCATGATATTCTAATTTTAGGACCAGCACTGCAGGTACAATTTTTATTTATTTATTTTATTTAGTGTGCGCAGCTTATATTCAGGTATGCTCTTTAGACTGGAAATTACAGTATTGCATAGAGTAAGGATCAAGGAACATTTTAATATCATTCCCAGTAACAATAAAAGAGCTTTGAAAAGTGCAAATAACACACATGCCCTTGACATGAGTTACTGTGAAGGTCTGAAGGGTCATTAATGCAGAAATCCTCTGACAGTCTGGTTTATCCTACAGTGGCAATAAAAGCTTCACCCCGTTAAAATACAAACCAGCAGGACGCCAGTGCCCCGTCACTAACGGATTTAAAAAGTGAATGTTTCTAGTTTTGAAGATGAGTGTTGTTCTGGACTGGACCTGAACAGGGAGTAAGTAAACTTCACTGTTTTTGGTGCAAGATATTGAAGTGGGCAGGAGCCAGAGCAGAGTGACGGTGAGTCGTGCTCTCATTGTTAAAAACATATTCAGGTTCCAAGTGCACCATCTTTTCTTTTCATGCAGTTGTTTTAGCTCAGTTTGGCTCACAGCTGGTCATTACGGGGCGACGGTGGGTCCAAAAGACAGATTAGTTGTGAACCACTTGTCTAAGGAGCTGACAGATGAAACGTATCATGACTTAAACTTGGGATTTCTTTCCATTTGTTGAAATGAGCCACCATTTGTTCATCCACCACACAGACAGGCACCTTTTAAACTTAAAGCATGTGCTTACACGATTAACAGAAACAAACTCCTGACAAATAAATGAGCAAAATTTAACTATTTAATCAAATCAATTCTCATAATGCAACTAAATGTAAGCCATAGTATAAAACTGAGTCTAATCTTTAAACAAGACACAGATATTAGATGATTAAGAAATATTCCTCTAAAGCACTTGTGTCAAACTCTCAAGGCCCGGGGGCCAAATGTGGCCCTCGTTGACATCTTATCTGGCCCCCAAGAAGATACGTTAAACGTAAAATACTTTAATCGCTTTAATTTTTTCAGTAATATTTGATTATGATGTCAAAAGTGTAGCAGGGAACATGAGATGAGACCAATCAAACTCTTGTTGAGGAACCTGCAACCAAGAAAAGATGTCAAGTATCTAACTCGAGTTAATGGAGATTCTGAAATCGGCCCTTAGTTTGAAAAAAGTTTTAATTTCGGCCCCTTGTGAGTTTGACACCCGTGCTCTAAAGAGTAATCTTAAGTTCAGCGGTCTTACCTTTGGGGTTTTGAGCACAAACTGGGTTTTGCCATCGTCTCCTCCTAACTGAGCCTTCAGCTCCAGAAGTTTGGCCACTTCTTCATCAATCTGTCACACATGAACAAGATGAGACTTTAGATGTCAGAGCATTAGCTCAGTCTGCTACCATCGGCTAACAGCCTGAACTCAAACTCTACCTACCTGAGCCACGGTCGTCCCAGAGACAGAGTGCAGAGGTCGGACACGAGCCGCAGTCCGAAAGGCCGCCAGACCGGAGCAGAACCGAGCGCACGACACGGCCAACATCATCGTCCAAAATTACGGACAACACAGAGAAAAAAAATAAAAGTCCAACAAAAGTTTAGGAGGGCATCAAGGGTCCCCCAGGATCATGTCCACCCACAGCAGCCAATCACAGCAGTCCAGAGAAAGAACCAGGAAGTAGATTGTGGCGTTTTCATCCAGCAGGGTTGGAGTAGATGATGATGATGATGATATTTAATGTTGAAGAAGGCGGGCCGAAGTCATCCAGGGCCGGGCAGGAAGAACAGGAGAAAAGTGGTAAGCAACCCTAACACTAGAGAAGGGCGGGCATGTCGACGCATCATCATCGTCATCATCACAGCATGGAGGACAGAACATGAGACGTATCGAGTCAATCAAAACTGCCAGCCTCTTTCTCTTTCTCTCTCTCACACACGCACGCACACACACACACACACACACACACACACACACACACACACACACTATCTCATCAAGCTTTATACTTCATTTATAAATAAACATCCATTCCTGCATTTCATGTCTAAAACATGTTCCATGTTGGGCCCAATGAGAACAAACAGCAGCGATGACCGGCGACGTCCACAGGCGGCGTCCGCCGATGTCGCCTGCGGACATCGCCCAGGTCTTGCTAGCAGGTCCGGTCCACAGCTTGATGATAATAAGGACTGCAGCAGCTGCCCTCACAGACTGCGGTCCAGAACTGGGTCCAGCAGACAAGAGAACATCCAAGGTTTTCCCCGCGGAGCCGAACAGGTCCATAGAGTTCGGCCCGTGCAGGCTGATGGAGGATCATGGACATGGCTGCCATGACAGGCCTGAGCTGGAGGGGGGCCAGGAACTGAACCACGATGGCAGCAACACAAAACTCCACAAGTGTGTTGCGGTCGTACCCGTACCGTGGGTGTAAAAAGTTCAAATAAAAACAACAAGAATAAAACAAGGTCGAGTCGAAGCAGAGCTCCCGTCAGTGCTACCATTCTGCAGCGCACGTGACGTCAGACCGTCGTCGTTAGTAACAAGTCCAAAAACCTGTTCTGTGATGCTCTGGAACTTGGATCGCGGTTCTGTAATGGTTCTGGACTTGGATCACATTACAGCAACATCTGCTCCCTTCAAGAACCACATTTTTCCAGGAACAACTGAGCACTTTTCACCAAACCCACATTCTGCTCACTTCAAAAACTGAGGAAGAGGAGGGAACGGGTTCTGGTTCTGGACTGGCCTGCCTGCAGTCCAGACTTATTCTTCTGTAGAGACTTCAGAAACCAGAACTGTGACGGAGATGACTCCAAGCATTTGCAGGAAGAACGGGATAAAAGAACACGAGACTCTTCATCGTCAGGACGTGTTTAAGTGCCGGCAGAACCAACGGAAACGTTCCGATCCAAACCTGCTGACCTGAACTGCAGGAACTGATGCTTATTCAACAAATGAAATACACTTCATGAAAAAAAAACTTTACATTTTGTCACCTTGAAAACATTTTGTCATACAGAAAAATTTAAGTAAAAAGTACGAATCAGTGCAATAATTTTCTTTTTTTGTCCCAATGCCCTTTTTTCTGATTCAGCCTCGTCTCAGAGACAATATTTTCTAGTTAAGGGGCAGAATTAAACTAAATAAAGTTCAAATCTAATGCAATGCTACTGCAGCGTCGTGTTATTTAAACTGCATTAAAGGCAGATCTGAAGCGGCTTCATGCACAAAACAACAAAGAGTCCAAGGACTTTTCTGTTTCTGTCTGCTCTCCTGAGATAAACGTTCAAGAAATTGTTGATATGCTTCAAACAAAAACTGGTTTTAGAGACAGACGCCCTCTGTTCAGTGTAAACGTTCATCCAGACGCCCGAGACATGCTCAATAAAGTTTGTCCATCACGTTCCCGATAGCATTTGAAGCTTTTCACAGATGCCATCATGTCGTTAATTATTTTACAACAAAGCCAAAATGTTAAAGCTGAGTGAAACGCTGGTCCCAGCCTCGCGGTGTCCTCAGGATCTCTGAGGTTCAGGATCAGAAGCGACAGATTCACTGATCATCAGTGGGACTGACTCTACAAAAGGCAGGAAACATTACTGCTCTCAAGCAGACAGGTGTGTGTTAATGAAACATCAAGGTGGAAAGACATCAGCAATCGTTCATTCGTTCAACCTTTAGGTATACAGGTTAGTCTCATTGAGCCAAGGGGGCTCATTTACCAGAGAGACCTGTTCCAGACAGAACAAATAAAGTACAGACAACAATAAACTACAGTAAAAATGCAGTTAAAATAAGAGTAGTGTATAAAACAAAGGTCATTTAATCATCACACAATCACCTTACAGAAGCAGCTGATCAATGTGGGAAGGGTCAAAGGTCATTTAACAGTTGTTTGGAGTCCATCATTCCGCAGACAGTAAGGTTATTCAGAAATGGAAACCATCTCAGACAGCTAACAATCTTCCCACCAAATTCACTCCAAGGTCAGACTGTGTAACACTCTGAGCAACAAGCTCTATCTCAGGCTCTATAGACCTCAGTTAGCAGGTTAAAGGTCATGACAGGACAATGGAAAAGACTGAACATTAGGCTGCTTGAGAAAGTCTACTCTCTAAAAACAACACGGCAGCATGGCGTTCGTCTGTATGAACTACAGGACTTCTGGATCAAAACAAGACTAATAAAGAGATCTGCACCCATAATGCACTGCACCATGCCTAGAGAAAACTAAATGCCTAAACTGTCAGCATGGTGGTGGAGGAGTGATGGTTTGGGCTCCTTGCAGTCACTGAGCGGACCAACAACTCCTCTAGACCAAATGGTTCTGGAGTTAAATGTGAGTCTCTCTGTCCCAACAGCTGGAGCTTGGACCAAACTGGGTCCAACAACAGGACAATGATTTCCAAACACGGCAGCTAATCTACAACAGAACTGGACAAAACAAAAAGCATAAAGACGCTGCATTGGTCCAAAGTCCAGAACCTCAACCTGGTTGAGACATTATGGTGGGACCTTCAGAGTTGAGCAGAAACCTCATTGAACTGAAGCAGCGCTGGAAAACATGGACTGAAATTGCCCCACAACCATGTGAGTCTGAAAGTCCCACAAAACCCAGGACTGAGAGATCTTGCTGCTAATGGAGGAACAAGCTGCTGGATCAGGAGCTGGGACCAGGTTTTTACACAACTTTTCCATTTCTTAGCTTTGAAACCTCGGTGGCCCAGGAAAGAGATGTTTCAGTGTGAAACAGACCCATTTTAAATGTAAGCTGTCATTAAATCCATCTTTTAGTGCTGGACATGATGATGCGCCAGCTGGTTGCAGAATAAAACACTTTAAATGTCCTGGTTGTGCTGCATGTTCACACCGGGCACATTGCTGCATCAGCCAGGCGTACACGGTTAAAAATCTGGAACTTTATGGCTAAAAGTCTCGTTTTCAGCACATCTGTTTCAGCTGGGATGTACAGCTGCTGGCTACATGTGTCATCCTGTTAGCATTAGCAGCTAGCTGAGCCGTCTGATGAACGAGGCCGCCGGTCAAACACAGCCGGGTGTGCTGACTCAACCCCGGGAGCAGCTGTCAGGCCGCCCCGGTGAAAACATCGACAGGAAGTAGGTTTTTAGAGTCACTACTTTCCAACCTGGTTAGTTTTCTTTCCACTAAAATAAAACGCGGGTCATGGAAAGATGATATTATTATCCGCATCATGTTAGGAACTTTACTTAATTTTAAAATAAAACCAGAACACTAACCTGTTCTTTGCTCGCCTTTTCGGATTTTAATTTTCGAACAACTTCCCCCTGGATTTTAATGGCCTCTTGAATCTGTGTCTTGTTCTCCATGGCTGCGTGTTCCACCGGCTCAAACACACGCGAGCCGCCGCCGCCGCTGCTGCTGCTGCTCGTCGATGGACGGAGGAAGTGCGTACATACCACTTCCCTTCTGGGTTTTCAAAATAAAAGAAGGGGGAGTTATTTTACTTTTATTTGTTTGCATAGTTGCCTCATCTTTAAAAATATATATATACTTATAACAATTTATAGATGTTTTTGTTGTTTGTTTTAAGAAAAACTTTTGGATTTTCATACTTAATTCTAACCTACAAAAGCTCTCAACTCATTTCAATTCAGTTTATTTACAGAGTCAGAGTCAGAGTTTCTTTATTGTCATTCGCACCTCATGTGGTACATGTGGTGGAGCGAAATTATGTACACAGGGTCCCAGTTACATCCAACAATAAAATGTCTAAGAAAAACAGTAATAACATCTAAGATATGAACTAAGAAAAACATCAACTAAATATACACTAAGCACTCATGACATAAAACATTGAACATCAGCACAAACATGAACATGAGTCTGTGAGCAGATGTGCACACATGAACACATCAACATTGAAACAGATCAGCAGCAACATGAAACAGATCAGCAGCAACATGATATGGTTTTTCACAGTGATTATTCTGGTTAGAGATTCATGAGTCTAACAGCCTTAGGGTAGAAGCTGTTCCTCAGTCTAGTGGTTCTGCATTTAATGCTCCTTAACCTCCTTCCTGAGGGGAGTGGGGCAAAAAGTGTGTGTGCTGGGTGAGTGGGGTCCTTCATGATGCAGGTGGCCCTCTTCCTGCATCTGGAGGTGTAGATGTCTGTGATGGTGGGGAGACTGACTCCAACATCTTCTGTGCAGCCTTCACCACTCTCTGCAAAGCTTTTCTTTCTGCAGCTGTGCAGCCTCCATGCCACACATTGATGCTCGAGCACAGGATGCTCTCCACTGCACACCTGTAGAAGGAGGTGAGGACTGAGCTTCCCAGACCAGCTCGCCTCAGCCGTCTGAGGAAGTAGAGTCTAGCACCAAGTTACAACAGAAGTCATCTCAGTGCACTGAACAGAAACATCCATATATAAAAATAATAATTTAAGACTTTATCTGTGGAGCAGACGGCTTTGAATTGAACTCCATCACAAAACTCTCATCACGAACAAGCACAAAGGCGACAGTGGAAAGGAAAACCTCCCTCATGAGGAAGAAACTCTTAGAAGAACCAGGTTCAGGACAAGCGGCCATCTGCTTCGACCAGTTGGGTTTGGTAGGACCAGATACACAATGGCAGGTCAAGAATCACGTTAATAGTATCAAATGAAAATTATTCTATTTTAACAATTCATTTAAGGAAATGAGGTCAATTTGTCCTCTAGTAGTCCAAGTTTAAGGCAGCATAACAAATAAACCCTAATTATAGGATTTATCAAAAAGGAAAGTCATAAGCCCAGTCTTAAAACTGGACAATGTGTCAGCCCTACGGACATAAACTGAAAGTTTGTTCCACCAGAGAGGAGCCTGATAACTGAAATATCTTTCTCCCATTCTGCTTTTGGAAACTCTAGGAACCACAAGTAAACCTGCAGTCTGAGAGCAAAGTGCTCTGTTAGGAAAATATGGAACAATAACATTTCGAATATACAATGGAGCTAGGTTGTTGAGGGCTTTGTGGGTTAGAAGTAAGATTTTGAATTCTATTCTGGATTTGACAGGGAGCCAATGGAGAGAAGCTAAAACTGGAGAAATATGATCTCTCCTACAAACTCCAGTTAAGACTCTGGCAGCAGCATTTTGGATCAACTGAAGACGTTTTAAAGAAGTATTTGGACACCCAGATAATAAACCATTGCAATAGTCCAGTCTAGACGTGACAAATGCATGAACCAGTTTTTTTGCATAATTTTTAGATAAGATGTTTCTAATTTTAGTGATATTACTCAGGTGGAAGAAGGCAGTTCTAGTAAAGTTTTTAATATGGGGGATAAAAGACATGTCATGATTAAAAATAACACCAATATTTTTAACATTAGAGCAGGAGGACAGATTAATGCCATCTAAGGAGGGAGAAAGACTGAAAAATTCATTCCTAAAATGCTCAGGTCCAAAAACTAAAATCTCAATTTTGTCTGTGTTCAAAAGCAGAAAATTAAGGGTCATCCAGGTTTTTATTTCTTTAAGACATGCTTGTAGTTTAATAACTGATTGGATTCATTGGGTTTAATGGACACATATAACTATGTATCATCAGCATAACAATGAAATGTTTCCCATGCTGTTTCAGAACTTTACCTAATGGAAGCATAAACAAGGTAAAAATTATTGGTCCAAGCACTGAACCTTGAGGAACTCCATGACTAACTTTGGTGTATGATGAAGATTCATTTTGATGAGCTCTAAACTCTGACTGAAACTCTTCAAACAAATTGTTTCTTTAAAAAAGTTCACACAACTGACCTGCAACTATTTTCGCTAGAATTTTTGAGATGAAAGTTAGATTAGATATAGGTCTATAGTTGGCTAGAATTCCAGAGTCAAGGTTATGTTTCTTAAGTAAAGGTTTAATTACAGCAATCTTAAAGCTCTGTGGTACATAACCGTTTATTAAAGACATATTAAGCAGATCCAAGACATGATTATTAATTAGGGGAAATACCTCTTTAAACAGTCTGGTTGGGATGGGATCTAGCAGCCATGTGGATGGTTTGGATGAGGTTATTATTTTTGACAGTTCAGAGAGCTCAACAGGACAAAAACTGTCCAAACATAAATCAGGCTCTAGTGAAATTTTTAAAGTTGACACAGAACCAGAGGCGATACTGGGAATGTTGGTTTGAATTTTCTCTCTAATTGAAATAATTTTATTTATAAAGAATCTCATGAAGTCATCACTACTTATAGTTGTAGAGATATATGAATCAACAGAGATATGATTTTCCATTAGACTAGCTATGGTATTGAAAAGGAACCTCTGGTTATTAATATTCTCATCAATAAAAGATGAGTAATATAAAGTTCTAGCTTTATGGAGGGCTTTTTTGTATGTTATCTCTCAAGGACAAGTAAGATTCCTCAATGCTAGTGGAGCGCCATTTTCTTTCTAGTTTTCTAGATGTCTGTTTTAAAGTACACAACTCAGAATTGAACCAAGGATCTAATTTCCTCTGATTGATTACGTTCTTTTTCAGCAGAGCAGCTTTATCTATTATTTAGCTTTTTAGGATAGAAAAAAAATTACAAATACAAACAGGTATAGTAGAGTAAGTTAAGAAATGTGGTCAGTTTGTCCTCCAGCGGTATAAGAGCAGCATAACTAAGAGATAGCTCAGGAACCCCAGGCCAACCCAGCCCAGTCTTAAAAGTAGACTTGGGTCTAACTAATGAGGATCTAGACCTGTCAGTCATTATTGATGGACTTTCAATTACTTCAAGACTTTTTAGCTGCTTGAATAATTATGACCAACTATTTGATCAACTTAACTAACTTTATTAACATGCAAATCGTGTTTATATAGACTCTGCTGATCAGAGTGATCAAAGGAGCAGATAATGGATTGTTAACTGGAGGAAATATCAGCCTGTACTAACAATTTACTCAATTGTAGCTTGATTCTGCCTACTGTATACAACATTGCAATATCTGCCACAGAAGCTACTATCTACTAGCTAATTCAATAATTATCAGCCATAACATGGCTTTATAGGATACTTTTTAACGTTTAAATTATTAACTACAAAAAAGGTCAAATCATTTCATCTGGACCAGTTTCTTTAAGAGAGAAACGTTTCGTCTTCCATCTGGAAGACTTCATCAGTCCCATATGTAGCTTTCATTGCATTGTTTCAAGACAACCTCCTGTTGGAGTCTCAGAAGCTTTTAACACGCAAAAGGACCCATCTGTCCAAAACAATCAACCGTCATGTACAAAGTACAACAATCAAATGTTTTAGGCCAGATGGCCGACTTGCTACTCACAGAGGACACCAAGGCCTCTTCAGATGAAATGATTTAACCTTTTTTGTTGATATCTACCTGGATGATTGAGCCTACAAACCTATTTTTGTTTGTTTGTTTAATATATTAGCTTCAGTTCTGGCCAGATCACATTTACATCGAGGTAAACAAGGTCCAACCTGCTGACGTGAAAAGAGACACACTTTCCCTTTTTTTCTGTGCTACGTCTGTAGCATTTTGATATTTTCACATCCATCCATCCATCCATCCATCCATCCATCCATCCATCCATCCATTGTCTCTTTTCCCACTTCTTCCTTTTTGGGTCACTGGTGTCCATGCCATGACTGTGTGAGAGGCGGGGGACACCATGGACAGGTCTCCAGTCCATCACAGGGCCGTTCCCCAGTCGATAAATATACTTACGATTTTTACCTTTGCATCCTTTGTGATTCTTTCTGTTCAGTACAGTGAGTTCTGCTGTAACTTAATGTTAGCCAAAAATGAGTTCATGATCCAAACACACACAAGCCACAACCCTCTGCACTGCAGGAGAGCATCAGCCGACACAAGACCATGCAAAGAAACTTTTTATTTAACACTGGTCCACTCGCACTTAAGGTTCTTCTTTTACACGGCAAAAGTTGTTCTACTGAGTTTTCACATTGGGGAAGTGAGCAGTTGTGCTTGCTTCTTTTTTTTTTTTTTTTTTTTTTTTTGGTCTTTATTTTATTTCTTGTTTGTTTCAGAATGTTAAAATTTGCATCTTCAAAGTGGTGGTTATGTTGTTTAAGTTAAAGTTGCAACAACCCCAAAATTAATTTTAAATTTCAGGTTGTAAGGCATTAAAAGCCCAAGAATGCTGAAGACTTTTGTAGCTGGGACTTTAAACCCAACCGTCTCCCAGTTCAAACACAGGCTGGGGTGAATGCACTTTCAAAGTCCACAGCAGAGCAGCACAGCTCTAACTTCCTACTTGGGTGAGTGTGCACACTTTTATTCTGCAGGAAACAAAAGGCTGTGAATCAGACAGTTAAGAACTACAGAGTAAGGAGGGAGTTTAAAGGGAGTCTCTCTGAACGATTCTTCACAACCCCCTGAACAGGCTGTCCCCTGCAGAGCTACACTGAATCTTGTGAGTCTGGCGTTTGC